GTGATACTTTTTTTCAGGATTCTTTGATGAATAAAAAGTTAAAAAGAAGAGCATTTATTTAAAATAGAAATATTTTCTAACAATATACACTACAGTTCAAAAGTTTTTTAAATTAAATTTTTGAAAGAAATTAAAACTTTTATTCAGCAAGGATGTGTTAAATTGTTAAGTGATAGCAAAGATTTATATTGTTAGAAAAGATTTATATTTTGAATAAATGCTGTTCTTTTTAACTTTTTATTCATCAGAGAATCCTGAAAAAAAGTATCGCAGTTTCCAAAAAGATATTTGGCAGCACAACTGTTGATAATTCTAATAATAAATCAGCATATTAGAATGATTTCTGAAGATCATGTGACACTTTATTCTGGAGTAATGATGATGGAAATTCAGCTTTGCATCACAGAAATAAATTATATTTTAAAGGATATTCAAATAGAAACCATTATTTTATATTGTAATAACATTTTGCAAGATTACTGTTTTTTTCTGTATTTTTGATCAAATAAATGCAGCCTTAATGAGCATAAGAGACTTCTTTACAAACATTACAAGTCTTACTGATCCCAAACTTTTGACCGGTAGTGTATACAGCAATAGGACACATTTGTTAGTCAAAGCAGTGCTGTTATAGAGACGCACCTGATGAGCTTACAGTCTTTACAGGTGAGGTGCATCTGTGTCAGATCCCGACACTCCACACTTTCAATCAGCTGCAGAGGAACCTGAAGACACCACAAAAACATCACAACTGAGTCAGTGCTATTATAGTTTTATTAATAGTTTGAATTAGTGTTTATTTTAATATTTTCCGTTTTCATGGGTTTTTTGTAATTTGTATTATTTTTTTATTATGTAAAAAAATTATGTAGTTTTTATACATTTTTTATTCCAGTTTTAGTTATTTAAAACATTGTTACACTAAATTAAAATCAGAAATGTTTCCCTTGCAGTTTTTTTTTTTAATATTTAAGTATTTTATTTATACTTTTTTACCTTTTTTTTTTTTATATTTTATTTCTGTCAACGTTTTTAATTTCAGTTTCAAATGTATCGATTTGAATTTGCTGACTAAATATAAAAAACAATTTAAAAACCAAAAATCTAAATATTGAAACATGTCTGTAGAGCATTTGACGGCTTTGAAATGAATCAGATGAGAGCTGCAGCTGCTTTACGAACCGTTATGATGCTTTCATGATGATTTTAATGATCTTTTTCCAGATTCTATGCAAAAGAGTCTTCATTTGTGCTCCACAGAAGAAAGCAAGCCTACATGAGGGTGAGTAAATAATGACATAACTTGCATTTTTGGGTGAACTAGTCCTTAAAAAGCATGTAATGCATTTAATTCATGCTGTTAGTAACAGACATGCTATTAAAAGCGTTGCGACAGGATAATATTTTTGCGACGTCACGACTGGGAACAATTACATACTATGCGACTAATTAAAACGTACTAATTAGGTGCTTTGTGATTCTGCTTCAGATATTACTGTGCATGACTCTAATAGACATAATAAAAGTGACAATGGATAATTGACCTGAATTAAATTAAACAAGAATGCTGAAACTGTGAACAAATAATTGTACTGAATTATATACAAATAAAGCAATAAGCCCCAAGAAGCCGTGGTTTACAGTGAATTTATAATAGCTAAGGGGTGTTGTTAGGCACTGTTATAAATTCACTGTAAACCACGGCTTCACGGGGCTTATTGCTTTTATAAAACGGTTATTCCATATACGTAGTAAGGTTTCACAGAATAAAACAGAGCAAATAAAGTGTAATGATATTAATAAAAACAGTATTCTTCCACCAAACAATGTAGCTCCTCAGAAACAGTTGTGGTTGCTACAAAGTGGTTGCTGAGCAACAGACAAACGTAAACAAAGGTGTATGTTACTTTGTAGAGTCATTTACAACAGCTTTGAACTCGGCTCAGCCAATCAGAATCAAGGACCGGAACTATCCGGTTTATAAGATTATATCAGGCACAGAGTCTGTATATTAGATAATGGCTTTATTTTTTGAGACAATATTTATTAATTATTAATTTCCTGGAAATTCTGCATTGTTTGTATGCATGTGAATATAAATTCTGTGCTAGCTACTTTTTTCTGGATTCTGTGTTTTATGATTTGATACAAATTTATAAAAAAAATAAAAAAATGGTGTTAATCAAATGATTGCATGAAACTTTAACAAAATTTACCTTTATCAACAAGATTTATTGATCTTTACAATTCACAATTTCACATTCATAATGTAAATTCTGTTTTTATGACTGGACTCATTTTCCACATAGCAGATATCAAAGGACTCTACATTACAAAAACCTTGTCAAAAAGGGGCTTAATGAATGATGAAACCACACTGTGTGTCAGAATTAAAAGCAACATGACAACAGCAGTAGGACAGAAATATTATTATTATTATTCCTAAAGCGCTGTGATACCTGCTCGTCCTCCAAACGCTGCTGCCCCTCTTCAACCTTCAAAACACAAGCGTGGTGTTTGAGAAGAGCCATCAGCATTTACATTACATTTACATTTAGAACCTGGAGCACAAAACCAGTCATAAGGGTCAATTTTTTGAAATTGAGATGTATACATCATCTGAAAGCTGAATAAATAGCTTTCCATTGATGTGTGGTTTGTTAGGATAGGACAATATTTGGCTGAGATACAACTATTTGAAAATCTGGAATCTGAGGGTGCAAAAAAATCTAAATATTGAGAAAATCATCTTTAAAGTTGTCCAAATGAAGTTCTTAGCAATGCATATTACTAATCAAAAATATAAAGTGTAATGATATTAATAAAAACAGTATTCTTCCACCAAACAATGTAGCTCCTCAGAAACAGTTGTGGTTGCTACAAAGTGGTTGCTGAGCAACAGACAAACGTAAACAAAGGTGTATGTTACTTTGTAGAGTCATTTACAACAGCTTTGAACTCGGCTCAGCCAATCAGAATCAAGGACCGGAACTATCCGGTTTATAAGATTATATCAGGCACAGAGTCTGTATATTAGATAATGGCTTTATTTTTATTCATTTGATTATTAAAATCAGAATGAGACAGTTAAGACCAATCTTATCTGGTGTAACAGTGTTTCTGGTTGAGATACTGTCTTTCACGCGCCTCACTGGAGTCTGAGATCTCGACACAGACGCTCAGGTGTGCTTGTGTGTGAGAGAAACACTCACATTGATGACGTTCTCCTGCAGCTTGATGTGAAGGCGGTAGCTGGTTAAGGCAATGACCGACTCCTCTGCTCTCTCGACATGCTCTACACACTCGCCCTGCAGCAGCGGGAACGGGACCTGCTTCACACACACCCTTACTATCACAGCAGGATTACTTCACACAAATATTTCAACTTTTTAAGTTTTCTGGATTCTGTTTTGGTGGTTAAATTAAATTTTAAGAATCAAAACTGATGGATATTTATTTTATATTTCATACAACTTTGACAATTGAAATATTCCTAAATAATATATATATATATATATATAACATAATGTGAGAAATGTTGATATTGTTGGCTATTGCTACAAATATACCCCAGCGACTTAAGACTGCTTTTGTGCTCCAGGCTCACATTTAGCAGAAGCTTTTATCCAAAGTGACTTACAAATGAAGACAATACAAGCAATCAAAACTAACAAAAGAGCAATAAAATGCAAGTGCTATGACAAGTCTCGGTTAGCAAGGTGTTTTAAAAAGAAAACAAGTAGATAGAATAGAAAAAGCTAGTGTTAGAGGCCTTTTTTTTAAAGAAAACAAGAAGTCAGAAAATGAATAGAGAGTGCAAGTGTTACAGTTTTTTTTTCTTTAAATAAAAAAGAAAACAAATAGATAAAATAGAAATGGAATAGAGAGTGCTAGAGTTAGAGGGTCAAATAAAGATGGAAGAGATGTGCCGATTCTTGAAGATGCTCGGATTGAGTTGTGCAGGTCATTCCACCAGCAGGGAACAGTTAATGTAAAAGTCTGTGAAAGTGATTTTGTGCCTCTTTGGGATGCACAATAATGCATCGTTCACTTGCAAAACGCAAGCTTCTAGAGGCACATAACTCTGAAGTAATGAATTTAGGTAAAGGGGTGCAGAGTCAGTGGTGGTTTTGTAGGCAAACATCAATGCCTTGAATGCAGCAGTGATGTGAGAGCAGAATAAGCGCATGTAAAGCAGGGTTAGAGGTCTTACCATGACCCTTGAGAGGATCTCAGTCCCACAGACGGCAAACACACCGACCGACCTGAGAGACATCAATAAAATCATAGTTTCACTCAATTTCACACACTTCACCATGCTTAAATCCACTTAGGTTCTAGGTCTCTAGGGTTTATTTTAGATTATAGGTTTATTCACGTTTTGGTTTGGTTTGGTTGATGCTATTAAAACCAGTACTGGTCCCGATCTCCCTTTACTTAACAAACAGTGCCATAATCAATCACACATTTCATAATTAATGTGGCGCCGATGGTTTCAAAGCAGATCAATACAGATGAGACTGAAGCTATTGATCGTATGGATTTACCTTATACAGGCACTTCAGAGATTCAACACTCCCCAAAACCAAAAGAGGGCAATAAGAAATTATATTTTACACTAAAAAATTAGATTAGTACCATTAAGATTATTTTATGACAATGAATCAAAATCACATGTACTGTAAATATCATTACTGTAAAATACTGTAAAATATACACCAGGGTTATTATAGTTAACTAAAACTAAAATGTGAGCCATTAAAACATTTTCATCACTTGAAATAAATCTTAACTGAAATAAAATAAAATATAAAAACATTTATTTCAGCCAGTTTCTCATTTTCATTTAGTTTATCTCGTTGTACTAAAAAAGTTTAAATGAATTGAAATTGAAATGAATAAAAAAACTATATATAGAAATTAAAAAACTATAATTAAAATGGAAAATATAAACAAACTCAAATATGAATATAAAGCTAAAAAGTCAAAATATAATAGAAAACTATAACAGTGATACTAAAATAACAGTGTTATGTAAAATAAAATAATTGTATACAATTATGCTCTATTCAAATCAGCACAAAGAAATGAATGAAAACAAATACTAGCATGATATATAAATACTTTAAAATTGAAATATATAATTTTTTGCATTACAGTAATCAAAATGAGTTTTATATTACTGTAATGACAATTTAATTCATATACAGTAATGTCAATGATTCAAAAATGTTCCTGTAAGGGCTTCATTTTCTTTATGCAAATATATATACTTTTTTTGTTTAATTTGTGGTGAAGTGTGTCCTGACCTTGACAGGCTTCATGAGATTCACTATGACGGCAATCTACAAAGCACCTGACAGAGATTTATGAATGATTTTACAGGCGTCATGTAAGGTCTCGTCGACCACAGAGACTTAATAACTGCAATATCTCTTATCTTATCTAAAACCAAAATGTGTGACAGGATTTTCATTAATACAATTCATGTGAAATAAAACTGCATGAAAGCATTAGTTTCCCCTCAAAATCTGATCGTATGTCTCATCAATATCATCAGAAGACACAGTGTTCATTTTAATTTCACTGTGTTGATGCATCAGAAAACACACAATTGGCGAATCCTAAACCATGCAGAAACAAATCTTCGTCTGTAACACACATGCACTAACATGCACACATTCCACACACTGCATTTCTGACACATTATAGTGAAGATCTACAGACCTGATTCTGGATCTGGATCTGGATCGGTCTGTCTGTGTGTCGAGAAGATGCTCGAAGAAAGAAAGAAAGTCTGCAAGAGAGGAGAGGTTAAAAAAGACTAAGTTAAACATTAAAAACCAAATTAAGCATGCAACATAATCAGATGTGACAATGTAACACACTTCAGTTTCATTGATCATTGCATTGCATGCTGTCTCACAAAAAAACGGGAAGCAGACTAAAGTAACAAACGTTTCACAACAACATCCATTGTTATTATTAACAATGAAATAAATATAAAATATTAAATACATATAACTTAAAAAATAAGTATAATAGATTATTAACAGTTTCTGCAGGTTTTATGAAGGTAAATTTAAGACCAAGAAAATTTAAGGGATATATTGAATGGAACGCAACACATCAATATGGTCTTGAAAAACAATTTTTACTGTACCTTCACACTGCAAAAAGTGCTGTTCGGCAGTATTTCTGTCTTGTTTTCTTGCAAATGTCTAAAGATTTTTAAATCAAGATACATTTAGCCGAGAAGCAAAATGACATGAAATAAGAAGTCTTGTTTATGAGAAACGGATCAAAATGAAGTGAGTTTATGCTTTAAACAAGAACAAATATCTGCTAAAGTGCTCAGAAAAAGAACTTAATTCAAAGGGAAAACATGTTTTCATTCCCCATTTGCAGACATCTGTTTTGGTTTTAAGCATAAACCTTGTTTAATTTTATTCGTTAACATGACTTTATATGTTCATTTTGCATCTCAAGTAAATGTATCTTGATTTAAGAATGTTTAGATATTTGTTCCGGAAAACAAGACACAAATACTGAGGAAGATATTCCTTTTTTTGCAGTGGATGCAACATTTAATGCCATAACTATGAATTTAATTAATTAAATTTTAAAATTAAAAGTGTTAAAACACACACACACACACACACACACACACACACAGATATGTGGCTATTCATGTTGATGGGAATGTAAAGTAATCAAAGAACATGCAAAGAAAGGTCATGCAAACAAAAGGCCTTGTTATGCTGTTCCTGACAAGCTAATATTAACTGAACTTGCTTTCAACAAAACACATATAATGACAGATACGTTATCATGGCTTTCAACAGCTCAATCCTGCAGGAGTAAATTTACTTAAAGTGCTTTACTATTACAAGAGCGTCTGATCTCACAATAATCAATTTGCAAAGGCAGGTCAGATAAAAACAGCTACCTGCACTTATTTATTTTCTGTATTGTCTATTGTGCAACAGTGTAAATGTTAATAATCATGCTAAAACACGTCTGTTGCGCATTAAAACCTAGTGAGCTGACTACCTAGACAGCAGTTTTGTGCATGTAGTGAACTGTCAGCCTACTCCAGCTGACCCTGAACGTGTTGATGATGCCTAAAAAGCAGTGGTGTATTGTAACAGAGTAATAATACTTTGTTACAGTACTTAA